AGATATATTTGAATACAAAAATATTTGATTTTTGAATTTTTAAAAAGATTCGATGTAACTGACAAAAAACTCGCCCGTAATGTTTATCAGCTGCATATACCGTTTTATCGAAGTTTCCGAATTATTTTTCAAGCATAAACTGTAAATTTCAAGGCGATAATAATACACATTCTCACGCGTAAAATTTACCAATTCCCCTTTCCATTCGAAAATAGAGCACTTGGGGCACCCTTCACACTTTTTTAAAACTCGGTGCCTATAATCGTAGGTAACCAGTAAGTACGTTAATATAATATAGTCTTTTGTCCACCTGTTTGTATTTACTTTGCGTTTGAGGAGACACGCCTCTCGGCAGACCTTTTCGAAATGTACGCACTTAGTGTAAATAGCGTTAAAATTATTTAGTCCAGAAGACACTATATAATCAGAATATTATGAGTCTGAAATATTTTTCTCCCTACAAAATTGATAAACTTTCCTACAACCTCTGAATTTGAATTTATTTATACAGTTTGTTTTATTGCGAAATGCCGAAATCACTTTGAAAATATTTATCTATATTATAATATTTAATTTTACTTAAATGATCAATAATGGTTAAAGAAAATCAGGAATTGTCATGTGAGCGCTACAGCTAAAAAACAAAAAAGCCGTTTAGGAAATGAAAAAATATCAGAAATCGAAGACGTCAGACCATTAACCACAATATTTTTATTTTTTATGGTAAATTTTTGTATTATACACGTGCCCCTTAATGCATAATACATTAATACGGATCCGTATGTTATTTGTCCGTCTCTATCGATAATTTGGTTCTAATAAGTTCTGATAAGCAAACGTATAGTTTTGGCTTTCGATTCGCCAAATAACAATAAATATTATAAATGCACCCCCGCAAATGGCATGAAATCGAAAAACATTTATTTCAATTACTGTCAAAATACAAACACAGTTTTCTCCGCGGGAAGCTATGTGTAATAAGAATAATAAGAATATTAGTGATTAAACCAATGTTTATTGTTATTATTTTTTATTTTGTAGATTCTGAGTATAACTAAAAACCTATTAGTTTTAGTAGAATGTGTTTTTTCTCCCACCAGAAAAAACGCATTTTCAGATATTAATAATGGTCCGGGTACTCAGGCTTCAAAAGATGTTACATAAATAAAATGTTCGAATATAATTTATTATTTATTAAATTTGAAACCCGTACAATTTCCAGACTATCATTTTGAAACGTTTACGTTTTATGTTTCATCAAGACGAATTTTCTGGAATATTAATATTTCTAATTTCCATACTGTAAGTACGCCATTTTATGTATTCATTTCAGCACTTGTAAACAAATTATATTCTTCTAAACGGAATAGTTCGTATGTTTTGTTTGTATAGCTTTGCACAACAAAGCTTTAAATCTATCTTTTGCTTTTAATTTAAACCGCCGCGATATTGCATTTTGAATTCTTCAAACGACAGTACTCACTATACAGTTTTATTACACAAATCTGTCATTTATACGTTTTCTCGTTTAATAATAGGACGATACAAATTTTCGAAATTTCCTAAATGATAATATATTATGGATTAAATATTTATATTTGTTAATTTTATAAATATAAACGGGGCAACACATTGTTATACTAATACGTTTAAAAAGACAGGTACACTTCGTACGATGGGTGGGCCACTGTTGTTGGTGAGAAGTTGGAAAGGTAGGACGTAGAATGGAAATTACTGTATTTTCGTATGAAACGATTAATCATTTCTAACGTAAAACGAATCTGAGCAGAATTCAATACTTACCATCAGTCTGTTTAAAGAAGTTACTATCAAGGTAGCAAATATCAATTAAATCAAAAATGTAACAAAAATGGTCCTTGTTGTTTTTGTATCGAAACAATATTTATGGTAGAAAAATTAACCCACACAAATTTTAAATAATGAAATCGTTGCATCATAATTTGAAGAAAAAAAATGTGTTTTCTATCTTTTTGGATTTTCCCAATTACTATGAAAATTACTTTAGGTATCAAAAAACGACTTTCCCTGTCAATGATTATATATTGAAAGGAACAAAATCGATTCCTTGTCATTTTTCGATTGAAGCGATATGTCTGGTATAAATGTTGTTTACAGGTACAAAAAAAAAATACACATCATTGTATAACCGATACATTCGTAACAGTTAAAGAACTTGTGTATCATTTTTTTTTTTAAATTTAATATTAACTCGGTTGATTGTTACTTCGTATGCAGGAACTATATATTTCGAAATTTCGAAAAAACCTAATAGAACTGGTAATTACTTATTCTTCTTATATTATTATAAATTTATAATACTTATTTAATAATATTGTATTTTATATTAGATTCATGTGTTCGATAAAAAAAATAAATCACTTATACATAATATATTTGTCGAGCCAATTTGTGTTACATGGTTGTATAATTCGTCAAATATTATATTATATGTATTATTTTTATTATTCATTAATATCTAAAGTTAAACAATTTAACGTAGTGTTTTTATAAAATCTAGTCCTTTTCTAAGTTCTGTTTCAATGTTTTTATTAAACAGTTATTATTCTTATCTAGACGATTTATAATGTTTCATTAGGACCAAGATTATTTCAAAACATTACGAATAGGCCGGATGTGATGGTAACCCTTACTAATGTTTTTTTTTTATCTAAATCACCATGGGGGGTCTTAGAAATACAAGAGAGTTAAAAAGAAAACAATTGTACGTTCTTTCTTTAATATAATAATCTATAACAAATACTTTATACTGTATTGTTCACTACAATCAGTTTCTGAAGAATTAATTCTGATTATACGATATTAACGCGCATAATTACAGGGCTACAGCTAATGTTCTTTATTAGTATCCATCAATAATTTGAAAACTTTTTAAAACTGTACTTTGTACAAGGTTAATGATCACATTGCCTAAATCAGAATTCGTTTAATACCTATCAAGTAATGTTTGAGCAATTCAATGGCACCCAACTCTCACATCGATATGATATGCTGTTAGGCGTTGGAAAACCTTGGATTTGTAATAAGAATACCTAAACAGTTTTCCCTAAATAGCATGATAAAAACATTGCACTGAAACAATGGGCCTCTATAATTATTAATATCGCCAGAATATATTTCATACATTTTTAAACAAAAATCTCTTGACTGAATATTCTGTGGATTTAGAAGCACACTGTTTCTTAGTATTGTAAATAAATCAATATATTTAAATAGCTTCTTTGCTACTTAGAAGTAGTACCTAAAGAAGTTTGAATTATTTACTATAAAAAAATGATATCAATAAAATACAGTACTTCGGTAGTATTAAAAATTAATACCGTGCACGGAAGCAAAAAGAAGCAAACCAAAATATTATGAAATTAATAAATGATGCTAAAACATTATAATATAGATAGGTAGTTTTAATGAGTAAAAATGAGTAAATTTAAAGGAGTCTAAGTCAAATAACAGGTATTGCGCGTGGACATATCCCAAAAGTAATTTCCTATCATATCCTATCATGATAATTTTTATCTGTTGTCGAGCCAAGGATAGAATAACTTATCTCGATCATTAGTACAATAATACAATTTAATAACATATTATAACAAATAGTTATTTTAAATTATAATACTTTTTTATTTGATTTAATATCCATATTAAGAAAACTACACAAAAAAAAAAGTTCAAGAATTTTCAAATAAAGTTTAATCTTTACTATTAATGTAAATTCAAATAATAATATGAAAATTAAAGTTATAAATATTTAAAATATTATATTCTTCCTAATAATGTTCCTCATATTTTGTAAAATTTTAATTTGGAATCAGTGGTCTTTAAAATATAAGATTATGCATCCTTAGCCCCCTCTTAATTAGAGGTCGATCAAAAAACTAAAATGAAAAGGGTTCATTTAGGTACCCTTTTAGATTCTTAAGGGGAAGCGAAGAAGCATATGGTTTTACAAAGATGTTTATTTTTTTTATTTTTTTTTATCTGTGCGCGACTTTTCTTGCTTCAATTTTTAAGTGTAACACCTTTTCTGAAAAGAAATCGGTATGAGGAGGTACTTTAAGGAGGTCATTTATCGATTTTCCTAAGAGTTTTCTTAGAAAATGTGAAAAATAAGAAAAACATGGGAAAACCGAAAAAACCGTAGGAAAAACGAGAAAATCGGTACACTAAACAAATATCTTTTAACTAAATATATAATGCCTGTTTAATTATTTTACCGTAATATTACATATATATTATACTGTTGACAAAGCATCACTATCAACCGAACTAAGCTCAGAATCGTTTTTTCGTTAGTAACGGTTTATTGATGCTTATAAGTATACATTAAGTTACCTATAACAGTGGCTACACCCGTCCCATTATCCTAGGATGCCTTTTTTTTCCTGGTACCGGTGTAACAGGAAATTTTTAGCCCATATGTATTATTCTTATTACTATAATCTCGGTGGGTATACATAACCTGCAGGAAATATCGCCGACAGTATTACCTTACATCAGTGATTCTCAACGGGGGTGATATCGCCCCCCAGTGGGCGGTGAAGGGCTACTGAGGGGCGGTGTATTAGTTTTAGGTGGTAGGGTTTAGGTGTTCACGCAAAAACGTTGTACATGGTACGACTAAAAATAATACATACTTGATAATCAATAATATTATATTATATTATATTATAATAGATAAAAATATTTTGAACATAGGGCTTTTATCGATCAATAACAATTATTCAATTTTATCTGTAGACAAAATAATAATATGAGTATATAATATATAATATTGCGTTTAGTATGTTATCTACGTTTATTGAGAGTAATAAACGGCGGAGCCTTTCTTGCCGACTACTGTTTAGTACACCGATTGATTCGACCCGAACATATTGTTTTGGTTTGTGTTATATTATTCAGTCGGTTAAGAACGTGCGTTTCTAAATTATTTTGCTGTTTCGTAAAATATTAATTTTTCAAAAATGTCAGATACAACAAGAAAATGTCATCAATATAATACTACGTATTTAAAGTTCGGATTTATTCCATCGCCATCCAACATGCAGCCACTAATGTGTTTACTTTGTAACAAAGTGTTTGCTAATGAGGCAATGAAACCATCTCGTTAGCAGGAGAATTTGCAAAAAGTTCATCCTGAAAAACACAATAAAGATTTGTCGTTTTTCACAAATATTAGGGACAAGTTTCTGAAGGCACAATCGGTCTCAGGCTTATTCGCAGGCTCACCAAAAAAATTCGATGATGATTTGATTGCTTCTTACAATGTATCCAAATTAATCGTGAAATCGGGAAAACCTCATACCATAGGTAAAGAGTTAATATTTCCAGCTCTCAAAGAAATTTTAAAAACGGTTTTACACCATACAGCCTCATATAGATTACACACAAAATTTTCATTAAGCAACGATACTGTGAGACGACGAATCGAAAAAATGGTGGAAGACGTTGAAAATTCATTGTGTGAACTTTTAGTAACCACCGAATTTTCCCTTCATTGATTCTGCCTTTCAAAAATTGACTTTGTGGAAGACCAATTTTGGTTGTTAAGAGTTCAGTCAGTTTCCAGTCTTGACAGATCTACAAATTTCAATTTTTAATAGCCTTCTCTTCCTCATATCTCGTCGAGCGAGGGTTTAGCACTGTAACAGATTTAATTACAAAGAAGAGAAATCGACTCGATATCGTAATAAGAGGAGACTTAAGACTTATGACATAAGTCATGACATATATTCTATTATAACATAAGAGCTATCATTGGGACACAAAATTTTGTTTAATTTTATATTCCGAGCATTGTGAGGGAACTGCTGGTTTTACAATGCTGTTTATTTCTTTGTTGTCTTTCTTTGTTCTCTGTTCTAGTTTGTGGACACGTTTTTTCCTAATAAACTTGCTCCGGTTTTTACGTGTAGCAATTTTTCTGAAAGCTTAAGTTGTCTAGATTGTACTTTTAACAGGTTATTTCTGATTTTCGAGGCCATTTTTTTAAATTAAAGCACTTAAATGGGACAAAACGTAGGAAAAAGTACAATTTCATGATTTTATTATTTTATGAAAACATGGTCGACGTTTTCTAACAGAAAAAATGATTTAATCGAAAAATTACAAGATACGTTTTTTGTTGCCTTTTTGATTTACTTTCTTAAGGTACCATTGCCAAAACTTTTGAGCAAATTTTGAGCTTTTAAGGAATTTTAATTTTGGGAGTTTTTTTGTTGTAATTTGGTTATAAATACAAGTAGAGACTTAAAACTTGGTAATAATACTTATATTGAATTTACTTAGACGTGGAAAAATTTTCAAAATCATCGAAAGTTTTTTTTTTTAATAAGCATTTTGAAATCAAATTTAAACAAAAATCGCAAAAAAAAATTACGGCACTTCACATTAGGTATTACCGAACTACTCTCGGAATCGTCTTTCGTTAAGCAATGGTTTATTATCGTTGCTTACAGATATAAATGAAATAATCTTTACAGTTACCACTCCCATTCTCAGTATCAGTTCTTTTTTTTAGAAGTTCATTTTTAGAAGATTGAATGAGCACGATCGTCTATGAACGCGACGCGGTTTTTCTTGTATAAATATATCCTTTTATAAATATATTGTATAAGCTCAAATTTATAAAAAAATTGTTAGATAATGGTTCGGTTAATTGTTTTATTTTAAATAGTTATAAAAAGTAATATTTTACTTTGTTCTTATATTATTCTGTAGACATTTTCAGAAAGGAAGGAAAAATATTGTTTAAAATTATATTTAAAAAATAATAATGAAACGTTGCCTTTAAAACAATATAATTATTTAAATTCAATTAATTATAATATAATACAAATTATTACTTAATTTTGGTGATTCATAACCATCAAAGTAATAATAAAGTGGGCATTAAAATGTAAAATACTGTGACATCGCCACACCAGAAATACCCACCACTTGGAAGCGGGGTCTGAGCTGTTTAGCTACCCTAAAAATGGTTAAAATGAAAAAAATATTAATTTATGCGAGCTAATTTTCATTCACATCAATAGTGTGGGGTGGTGTTTTAAGGAGGTCATTCAAGGTCATTTAAGGAGTTTTCATAACAAATAAAAAAAACCGGGAAAAAACGTAGGAAAAACAGAAACATTTACTAAATGTATTATTTTCAAATCGTAAATATTACGGCTTTTCAAAACATGATAACCGAATTTCTCTCAGAATCGTTTTTTCGAAAAAATTTCGTTAGCAATAATTAATATCGTTGTGTACATTAAATTTCCCCTATAACTTTCCAACTTCCCGTCTAAAACAGTGACCCACCTATCGTGTTAAGTATGTCCATCGGTTTTATTTAAACTGTATCTTGCCTTCTAACCTTGGTCGCTTTAAAAGTCTCTTTCCACTGGAAATACCTTACTCCACTTAGTGAATTGTAGTGCCCCTACGCTGCACTTTATTCTAAAATATTTAATCTTTGTTAAGGTTGTTTAATTTCTCCATCTTCCTAAGAGAAGGCTAAAGCCTTCCTTCATTCTCTCGCTGTTTCGCTGACACACGGACCAAAAATCCTTTTCAAAACTTTCCTCTAAAATATCAAAAGCAAGAAATTTAATAGAAATTTAAATTAAAAGTGTATACACCTATTATAGGTACTCAAATTATTATTTAAACCTTCAAAACGTGCATTGCTTTTGAATACGAAATTAACATCATTAATAATATTATTTATTACTACCTACGTAGCTACTTTAATAATACGGTCACTGAGCTTTAACTACAATACAGTACATATAATATTATGTATAGTTATTTAGAATCATTTTATGAGAACACTGAAAATATATACAAAAGTATAGAGAATGAAAATACATATAAAAGGTCTTAGGTTTTGGCGAATTTTTTTTTTTAATTATTCAATTATATGATAATTTTATTAAAGAATCTATTCAATAAGATTCTTATTGAATAGATTCTTAGATAGAAATTGGTTCCTTTTATGATGTCTATTTTAACATCTTACTTGTATTTTACATTTATTTGCCTTTTTTCCGAATTTCATTTTCAAGTGCATAGTTTGGCTTTTTCGCTATTTTTAAGTATATAATTGATGATATTAATTCATTAATAATATTTATAAACAAATCAGTTTTTGTATTTATTTGATATTTTATATTTTGTGTCCGTGTTTCGTTATTTTAATTATTTTTTAAAGCATATTTTGACAATTTTTTATGTATATTTAGCTTTTTTTTATTTCTCAGATAATCTAAAATATATAACACTACCCACTATCTATACTTTCTTATATACGAGAATAATATCGTGAAGTGAATTGAAAAACACGTTTATTATCATATATTTATATAGTTTTATTCGTTAATTTATATAATTTATAACGGCATTGTACTTTATTCTTTAAGTACAAAAAATAAATAAAAATATCTGAAAATGTACATAGTATATTAAGTATTAAATAAGATAAAATACGAATGCTTATTCGCTGAAAACTTTTAAAATAATTGGAAATGTGCATTTTATATTAACGTAACAGGCTATTATTTTACATGTACGTTTCCTAATAAGCTGCATCAATGACTGTCTTTTTCAATTACACGCGAGTAATAAGGGTTTTAACGAGAGAAAAAAAATTAAACCCATTGTGAATTGAGTAAGTATTATGGGACCTATCGATATCTGAGGGTAGGGTAGGTATACTAAAATATAAATATAGTAAGATAAAACAGAAAATGTTTTTTAAATGCTTAATAAGTTATCATTGGCGTCGTGAAGTTTCTTTTTATCAAGCAGTTGTAGTAAAATAGCAGAAAAAATCTCATAACAACCCAAGCCCAGAAAAATTGAGCAGTTGCTTCATAAGATACCCTGCATTCTCGCCGCTATTGGTTACACAGTAGTTACTAAAAAGTTAATGTCATTTGATGTTTTTTTTTTAAACATTTTATTCGAATGACTAATGAATAATAGTGGTTAGTATTTTAGAGTGTAATATTAGTATAACGATGTAATAATAATTATTAACTACTCAAAATCCGGACATCAATTTTTATTAGTATACAGAATAAAATTGCCAACTATGAAGCGCTAAATTAATTATAATTTATAATTACATTTTAAACTACACTCAAATCTCATATACAGAGTTAAACAACAGTTTCATACAGGTTTTAACAACTACTACAGTAACCGTTTTCCAGAGACAGATGATAGGCAGTGAAATTATATTAAAAACCACAATTTTGTGTTAAAATAATAACATGATTCGTGATAAATAATGGCCGATTTCATCGCATCGGGTATATCATAAAAGATTTTTTTTTTTATAAATTAATGATTGACGGTTTCAATTTTGATTAAATACGGTTTGCGGTAACCCGGATAAATTATATACTCTCAAAGTAAAACTATATTTTTAATGTAACTTTTTAATTTCAAGTAGGTAGTATTTCATACATGTACCTGTATAGCTTTTTTTTAGGTTCTAAGTGGAGCAAAGAAGTTTATGGTTTTACGATGTTTATTTATTTAAGTTTCTTTATCTGTGAACAACTTTTCTACCAGAAAAAATGCTCCGATTTACAACGATGATACTTTTTTTGAAAGAAAATTTGACTGGAGAGTTACTTTAAGCATTTTTGAGACAATTTTTTGATTTTCTCAGGATTTTTCTTAATATATTGGAAAAACCGGGAAAATCGTAGGAAAAACGGGAAAATCGGTACAATAACAAACAAATATTATTAAAGAAAATATATAATGCCTATTTAGTTATTTTACCATAATATGACTTTTTATTGACAAACCAATACTATATCAACTGAACTCTGCTCAAAATCGTTTTTTTGTTAACAATGGTTTATCGTTGCTCAGAGATATGCATTAAATTCTCGTTTGTACCCTACTTTCCCAATTAAAACAGTGGCTGCACCCATATGCGAAACATGTCTGTCTTTTTTTCTCTTTTAAATGCAATACTCTTTCAAAATCAATTATTTATAATATACAATAGTAGTATTAGATAAATAGCGTAATATGTATACTGCTAGAATATTTATACACATAAAAGAAAAAGAATGTTCCACTGACTGACGTATCGATATGCACAGCTCAAACCACTACGTTTGAAAACTTGACATGAAATATAAAACGCAGAAGGTTACTAAAGGCTTTATTTTTTTAAAATTCAACCCTTGACGGATTAAAAACGGGTGTAAAAGTCTATGTAAATATGTCTATCTATAATATAATCAATCGAAACGACGGAATTAATTAAGTAAACAACTGACGACTCGACGGACGATTTCGGTTTTTGTATGCGGCCGGTGTATAGATAAGAAAGTTTAGGGTAGTGTATATATGGCAGCGATCACCATTAGGAGTCTGAAATGGGCCAAATATAATTTTTGAAAATTACTTGTGGGCCGCATACAGTAAATTAATTCGAATTTGTGCATTATCGGCCTGAAGAAAATTAAAAAAACATGATCGAAAATGATAA